CTGTTTGTGAGTCATCCATTCATTCCTTAGATGGTTACATTGGACTGATGTTATTGAGTTGTAAGTGTCTACTCTAAGCTTTTAAGCAAGAGTGTGTTTTACTTGATTAAAGCTTTTAAGTAAGATCAATCATTGTTTTTATTTGAAGTGTGACTTCTTCTGATGTATTATTATGTCTATCACTGCTATTGGTGACTGGTAGAAAGTGAGAGGGAATTTTCATTAGGAGTGTCTTAGGTAGAAATTGCAATGGGTAGGTATTAAGTGAGAAGTTGTAAACGTTGGAGTTTAACTTTAAATTGATACTGCTAATAATGGATTTCCTTCCTGACTTAGTAGCCCCTAAACGTAGGTGTTGTTGTACACCGAACTGAGTTAATAACTCATTGTGTTTTATTAATTTCTGCATTTTTAACTGTGTTATATTTTGTCCTTGTGTTTTAAATTGATGTCAGTGTCTTGACATCTCTTAAGACATCTGATATATGCATACCAGATTTCAATAATTGATTAAGAAGCCTTTTCCTTGCTATAATCGATTGAACTAAGTTGCTAATTGATTAGGCATTGTACAAATGTTTTCTAAATGATTAGGAATACTTTTGGTCAATTCCACATGCACCTTGATAGTTCTTCCATATGTTATAAGGTGTTTTAGTAAATTCATAGAGGTTCTAAAATATTTTTCAAGTGAGTGTTTGAGTTACCTTCGTAATTCGATAATTACTCTTATACCTTCACGTTTAAGTTATCATGCAGACATATGATCAGGAGAGTTTTCACACTTCCTTTATTTTATACTTTGAAGCTTCAAGATCCCTTGCATGATTCATCATTGATTCAACATTTCCTCTGAGACTTGATTCTTCTAATTAATTAGGTTTGATAGAGTTTCTTAATATAATAAATCATCAAGGTTTATTGGACAAGATATCATCAAGGACTTCACCTAAAACCGTCTGACCTTAGGTGTTGTCATTATTGAATCTAACTTGATATATTGATCTCTTGATAGATGAAGACTTTACATAATATCGTTTGACATATAGTGTTGTCATCGTCAATACTATCGCGAATATTTTATTATTATAGATAGTTGTACATGCATGCACATAGATCCACAATAATTACATCAAAAATCAATTGCATAATTTGGTGTCAACCAAGCTAAGTTTACCTCTTCTAATGTCGATAATCGTATTATCATCAAAAAAAAATTATGAGTATGGTCCAAATTTTCCATTCATGAGACATAATCAGTTGAAATTGAATTTTTCTTTACTGTAGATGTTATGATTATAAGTCACTTACAAGAGGAAGTGATGGATTGTTTCTAAAAGAATTTATGAATTAGTTTGACTTCTGTTGATACAATATGCAATTAGTAATCAATGGGTAAAACAATGAACCTAATATGCATAAGGACAATCCTTCATAAATAGTGCCTATAAACCATTTCATTCTTCACTCATATTTCTAGTATCATCACTATCTTGGTCACAATGTTAAAGACATCAAGGTCATGTAGAGAAATATAACACATATTTTTTCTTAAGAATTAAAGATGCAGCGTCATTAACACATGCAAGGCCTAATTTTTTATTTATAAAATCAGTTTTATCAACAAATCTCAAAACAAGAGATTTTTTTTAATTCATCAGCTTCATTTATAATTATACAAAATTTAAGATCATTAATTTCTTCACGAATATGCTTTTGATATGGATCACATTTCCAATGTCATCGGGGAAAATTCTAATAACATTTTCTTCAATTCTCCAATTCTTAACAACTCTGAGGTTCAAAATAGAAGTTACATTTTCTTCATCTTTTTCACCCTCACAAACTCACTTCTTAAAAACAAAAACAAAAAGTCAATTTTTTTTTACTCTTTATCACTTCTTTATTGGAAAACCATTTAAATAAATCAACAAAAATTAAAATGAATTTTATAATAAATCAACAAAACCATTAAATTATGGACCTGTTTATTTTAGCTTTAAAAATATGGATTTTTTCTTTGTATATTTAAAATTAAAACTTATAAAACCGTTTTTCAAAATCATACAAGTGTTTTTATATTCATTTTTGCTAAATTAAAAGATTAATTTTGACATAATATAACATAAACATATATTATTGAAGATCAAAACATAGTTGAAATTATAATTTTTCAAAAAATTATATCTCAAAAATTATTATTATGAAAAGCTATTTGAAATAGTTTTAAAATTAAGTGATTTTTTAAAATTTTGATGTCCAAAATAATTTTCACTAAAATGATGAAATATTTAAAATAACAATTTAAAAATAACTATTCAAATCAAATTTTCATTTAAATTTTTTATGAAAAAAAAACTTATAAATTTATTTTATTCAAAATTATATTACAATATAAAAATCATTTTTAAACAAACGAAAACAAACAGACCTAATAATCATTCCTAAATTACAAATCACATTCCCTATATTCACAAAACACTCCTCAAATTAAAATTAATTAAATAAAATTGAACATGAAATATACATTGACCCTAAATTCACAATACCCAGACCCTTACTTAATTTGTAAACTTGTAATTCTTAAATTCAAAGACTATTGTAGTAATTTTATCAATATAAAAAATAAAAAGTAAAATTTAGGTTGTTTGTAACCCTTCTTTGTCTCAATGTGGCTCCACCATATTATATATATATATATATATATATATATATATATATATATATATATATATATATATATATATATATATATATATATATATATATATATATATATATATATATATATATATATATATATATATATATATATATATATATATATATATATATATATATATATATATATATATATATATATATATATATATATATATATATATATATATATATATATATATATATATATATATATATATATATATATATATATATATATATATATATATATATATATATATATATATATATATATATTTTAAAGGATGAGGAGAACCTCTCTAACAAGTAATTTATTTTTCAATAGGTGAATGATCTAGAAATTTTAAATTTCACAAGAGACCAACCTAGGATACTTTCACAAGGCCATTTAAATTCAAGCATCAAATCTACAACAATGTATATTAGATCACCACATGTTAGTCTACTCTACCATACATTCAGTCTTTGCTTTATGAAAAAACAAAGTTAGTAAAGGAAAGAAATTTCCCATTAGACAAAAATAGAAGGTAGAAAAAAAATTTGAAGTGAAATCTTGTGTGATAAGATATAGTCATGTTGTCCTGATCATGTTATTCTGAAAGAATATAGAGCAGTAAAGAAGAGGAAAGATAGTGAAAGACAGATACTCTCTGTCGGTTTCAACTTCATATCTCTTAGGAACTTGAAGAGAAAGCTAAGATCATGTGGCAGTGTACCTCTTCACTTGAAAATGACTTGGCATTCATTTTTTTAAAGTTCATTATTCTTTCTTTTAACTTTCTTCCATTCACTCTGAAAAATCTTTCCATATTCGATTTTATATATATATATACCTTGAGCACTCTAAGATTTGTCTCTTTTTAGTATAATTAAAATAAAAAATAATATATTTTGGTTTGTTTTTATATTTTCCCAAGAGATTTGTCTTCAATCATTGAGTAACTAACTTGTACTACCATTACCAACTATAACTTCAAATGATTAATGTTAACTTATATATGTAAAAGGCTAATTATAACTTGTATGGACATTCAACAAAGTGATCATCACCTCAAAAGCCTAAACAAACTAAAATTAAATAGTTTTTTTTTTCAAAATCAATTAATTAATGCCATTATTTAATTTAGTTATGGTAATAATTGGTGGTTAATTTGAAGAATCTAAACTTTAATTATTTTATCATTTTGATTTAACTTTATAAGAAAGTCATTTTAAAACATCCAAACACCTTATCAACATTATGTTTAATATGATTTTTTAAAAATTAATTTAAAATGGATCCTTGATATTTTTAATAAAATACAAATTTTATAATAATAAAAAATAAATATCCCTAAAAATTTATTAAAATTTATAAATATAATAAAATATTGTATTTAGTCAAATTCAACCAAATCAGATAAAAAAATCAGATTAACGCAAAAATCAAGACTTCAAATTTTTTTAAAATTATATTAAAAATACATTGGAATGTGATTATAGCAAATGAAGCGATAATCCAAATATACAATAAATCTATATTACCTGATATTCTTAATTACAAGTTAAACTCCGAACCAAAAAAAAATGCGCAAACATAATAATTTTTTTTTAATTTCATTTTAACCCAAAAAAAAACAAATACATATTAAAAAAATTATTCATAAAATATTTTTTCCTATTGATTTTATTTAGTATTGCTTGTTTCAAACCTCATAATACCAATGTAACAGTGAATTGCTTTTTATGACATATAGATTATGTCATACCATGAATATTACTAGTGTACAAAATATCACATTTCCCGAAAAAATAAAAATTCTAGGAGAAAAAAAACTGCTTAATAGTGACGCAGAGAATGTTCCATACATAGTGTCAGAATAAAAAAACATTACAAGTGGGTCCAAAAAAAAGTACAAAGAAAACCTTGAATGTGATAAAAAGAAGAAAAGTTTATATGCTTGCTTCGAGTTTTTCTCATCTCATAACAACATGCAGACATGTATTCATCTATACTATTTCATAAAACAAAATTTATCATAATTAAATATCAATCAGTAAAGATGTAAAGTAAAAAAAAAAAAATACAAGTGAGAATTCTCACATTAACTAAGCACATTTAAAGTGCTTTAATTATATATTTTAGTTAGAATAACTAAAACTTTTGTTTGCCATGCAAAGGCATTAATTAATAATTATACCACATGATGATTTCCATGACCAAAATCAAAACCCTAGAGTGTTTCAAATCAAGAAACAATTACATATAACATAAAATAATTATCACATAATCTAAAAATTAAGATGATTAATCATTTTCATCCAAATGGTGAGCCTCTACCTTGTGTCATGATACCAGTACTAATCATAGGATTGTTCATCCTTTCAGCATGAAGTTGTTGGCCTCTTCTTGGTGATGGCCTTTCGAGTTTAGTATTCATCGACGCATCGAATTTCTTTTCACCTAAAATCTCTCCTTGGAGTAAAGGCTTTGTATCATAAATATCTATAGTTTCAATATCATTTCCTCTATCCAATGATGTTGGTGGTGCAATTTGGATTTGAATTTGATCACCTTTGAAAGGATCATCTAAGCATGATGAAGCTGGTCCTAAATCTTGAAGCCTTAAATCATCACTCCACATTAAAGGACTCTTCCCATTTCCATTATAAGGGTTTGTGTTAGGGTTTGGCCTCTTCTTGCCAAGACATAAGTTATCGTTGATTTGGATGAATCCATGATGATCTAGGGTTTGCTTTTCCATGTTTTGTTGAAGGTCGAGTTGATCGCCACCGCCACCACTGCCGAAAAGGTCGAGATCTTGAAAAGATGAGAAACTAAGAGGTGTGCCAAATTCTTTCAATAGTCCCATTTCAGGAATTCCTTGAGGTCCAATAACAACGCCCTTTAGGTTAGTTGTGGTTGATGCCATGTTTTCACCTGCAAGGGTTTGATAAGCCTTCTCTAATATGCTTTGCATGTATTTCCCTTGAGCTTCAATCCTTAGTTGAAGGTGTTTTTGTACCTGAAATATAATAGTTAATCCATGTAAGAATATCTCCATTGCAAAAGATATTTATATAAAAAATATGAATTCTCTACGATTTGCCATAAAGGATTCAGGTTCAATAAAATCGCATGGTTGGATGATTTTGAATTCTTTTTTTTATTTTTTTTCTTTTCTTACTTTTTATCTTTCTTAATTCACTCTCTCTTGACTATATTTTTCTTTTTTAATGAAAAGAGAATTAAGAGAGATAGAGAATTAAGAAATAAAAGATGAGAATAATGAAGAAGATGATCCAGACTCATGGTTGAATCACGTGATTTTAGAAGAAGAAAAAAAAGTTAATAGGTTACCAACTTCACTTTAAAATTTTAACAAAATTATAATATTATCATGAGAGTGTAATTTTGTCAAATTTACCTTAATTCCAAAACATGCACTAATGCAAATATTTTCTTGAACTTTATATAAAGTTTGTGTTTACCTCAAGTTGTTCATGAAGTCTTCTTTGCACCTCAATTTGCATCCTAATTTCATCAACCATAATTGAGTTACTTAGCCATAAAGAATCATAAGAAGAAGAAAAAAGCAAGAACTTCGAAAACTCTTTTCAGGTTTCATTTATTTACATATGGTTTTAATGGAAGAATGAAATTAGCATGCATACTCATTCATGTTGCGGCCAATCATGGCAGAAGAGGAAGCAGTATTTCGTTGCAGTTCTAAAGCTGAAGCTGGCAGTGCAAAAAGATTTTGTCAATATACACAAGAACTGTACATCATGTGTAAAGATCATAAAGTTCAAAGTGCAAAAAATAAAAATAAAAATTGTGAAACCCTAGAAAGAAAAGAACTGTCACCTCTCATACCATCCTTAATTGAGTGATCATTGAATTCTTTGTGGGGTTGCTTTCCAAGCCTAAATTTCTGTAATAGAAACAACAAAAAGAAAAAACAATAGAAAGTTATATAAATCAATAAAGAGATATATTAAACCAACTTTAGAAATTAAATTGGGATCATCTCCAACATCTACGCACTCGAATCCTGTCTCAAGTTGCTGCTGCACCAGATCAACTCGGGACAGGATTGAGTATGTGTTTGCGAGTGTTCTAACTCAAACCTGAAGATGGCTCTTGAGATGGTAAAGAGTGAGACCTTTGACACCCATAACCCTCATAATAGTTTTAGGAGTAGCCTCTGAAAAATTCGAGATCGAAAATATATGTCATGCAATATGAATAATAAGATAGAAGCAAGAAAAGAACAAAAGGGTGAAAGAAAAGTACTATCAGGTCCTCCAAGTTGAGTAACAGCATCAACAAAACGTTCATGGAGTTCAACAGTCCAACGAAGACGAGGTTTGGGGTCAGTGGTAAGAACAAGACCTGAGTCACCTTGAACACACATGGGTCTATCATGTGAATTCATAGTTGAAGGCTTCTTTGTAGGGAACATTCTTTCCATCTCTGTGAAGAGAATACCACAGAGATTCAAGAACAAATGCCGATGCAAAATAGGGAAGAATAGGGTGCGTTTTTGAAGGAGAGAATGAGAAGTGAATGGTTTTTGTTAACGTTCTCAAGTATAAAGCATGTGAGAAGGAACAAGCCTTACTTAAAAGAATGTATTAAATATTATCAATTTTTATTTTTATAAAAAGAAATAAAGTTATCTTATTCTAACATGTATACTTCCTTTGTTAAAAGACACCTCACTCCTTATTCTCTCTCTTTTTTCTTTCTCACTCTAACATTGCCACCTTATGGATTACTATATCATGCAAGTATCCAAAAAGTGGTAAGAGTTGGAATGTGTAAGGAGTATTAAAAAGATGGGTTAGGGTTTAACTTTTACTCTTAGTATTTTATTAGGTAACAGAATATTATGCACACTTTTATATTTTTTACTTTGATGTGACACTAAGCTATTCATATACAAAAATATTATTAATTCAGTTGAGCAATCAAAATTATAATTATTTCATTAAATGAATTGATCACATATTATAATTATTTCATTAAATGAATCTTCTCAACATTTGTTCATGGCTTGCTCTTTTGCTTCTTTGGCGTGGAAAGGGGTTATAAGATGGTTTGGATTGCATGTTGATACTGAGATTTCTTGCCTGGCTCCGTTTGTCACTTGTGTGAAGTCTTCTAAGACCAACTCCAATGGGAGTTCTTAGAGTGAGTTTGCCAACATGGCACTCATATTTATTGTTTCCAAGATTGCCATGTTGTTGAACGGTGCTTAATTAAGCAACGGTTCTTCAACTGTTCTTATATTAAAATATTAATTTTATAATATAAAAATTATAATTTAATATAAAATTTTATTTATCATTTTAATTATCATATAAAAATTATAATTACAATATTAAAATATTGATTTTATAATATGAAAATTATATTTTAATTATAAGTTTAAATTATAAGTTTAATTTGAATTTTATTTATTTTATTTTTATTTATTTTAATTTTTTATTTTAATTTTATTTTTATTTTATATCAAATTTAATTTAAAACACTAAAATTAACTAAGGAGAGATTGAAATATTTTTTAAAATTTAATCTAATTTTTTTTAAGTTTATACAGTAGAATAAAATATTTTTCCTTAAAACAACACTATATACCGGTTGGACTATATAGTAGATTGAAATAATTTTTTGTAAAAAAATTAAAATTATTATTTTAAGTGATATAAAATTTAATATGAATAAAATATTAACATATAAAGTAAACTTGTGGGACCCAATATAAGTTCTTCTGAATTGCACCATTGGAGTGAAAAATTAGTTGAGTTGCTTCAAACTGACGTGGCTTAATAGGTCCCACAAAGAACCCAAAAATGAGTTCACGGTTGGAGATGCTCTAACAACGTATTAGGTAATGAATGGAATCTTTATATTTGGGCAGCAACAGTGTGGTACTTATGGATTAGCCGGAATAATCTCGTTTTTAGGGGTTTTCTTGTCTCTGTAGATGATACGATTAATTCGGTTAAGTTCTTTTCTTGAAGGTGGTTATTTAGGGGTGATGTTTTCCCTAAGCGTCTGTTTTACGATTGGTTTTGTGTACCAATGGATTCTATTAAGCTTCTGCCTGTTTGTTTCGAGTTTGAGCATCCCTTGTACTTTGTGATATTTTATTGCCTATTAAAAAAACAAACTTAATCATGCAATTCTAAACAAAATTAAAATAAAGAGAGAATTGTAAACAAAATTAAAATAGAGAGAGAAGAGAAGAGAGCACGTCAGATGTATAATGGTTCGGCAATCGTGCCTACGTCACTCTCAAATGGTTTTTCATTGAAATTTTGATCAAGGTCGACCCAATTAATTCGGGGGTCCTGGTCTAATTTTAAAAATGGGCCTTAAAAGTATGAATTTATATCGAACTTTTGAAAAATCGATATAAAACTATAAATTTTGAAAATAAAATATAACTTTACACCTATTTTTAATAAACAAATGTAAAATGGATTTTAAAAACATTATAATTTACACTTACTTTTATAAATTAAAAAAAAACAGGTGTAAAATGTACAGTTTTGTAAAAAAAAATAGGTGAGCCCCTAAAATTTGGAGCCCAAAGCTACAGCTCCTGCTGCGCTTGCTAAAGGCCGACCCTGATTTTAATGGTCTTACACTATAATTTTGAAAAATATTACAAGATGTTCACAACAATCACAATCCGAATAATGATGAAAATATATAAAAAAAAAATTAATTTCAATCCTCGTTGACTTCTACGCAGTATCTAACATTGAATACTTGCAAAAAAAATTACTCAAAATCGTCTTAAATCTTCTAACTCCAAGAATGTTGCTCCAAAGTATCCTTTCTACAACGATCTTTACTTAATACTACTGCAATTTTGAGCCTTGGACTCTCTGAAGATTGAGAAGAACTCTCACTTTTTCTATAGGCTTTCACACAACATTGCCAAAGAAATTCTGGAGAGAAGAATCTTCTTATTATCTGCTGAACTTTTCAAAATCAGGCACATTCACACACACAATTTGCAAACCCCTGACATTTCAATTTTTTAAAGAAAATATTAACCACAATAACAATTCTCCTCGCGAATCTCGCACCTTGAAGATGAGAGTTCGATTAAAATAAAAATGGATGAAGAAAGAGGTAAAAGATAAAAATATTTTGTTTGCAAACAGTCGAAGCAAGATTCAAAACTCTTTTGAAAATTGAGAGAGCAAGTGTGTTTTGAATTGAAAATCAAAAGTGGATGGGTATGTTTTCCAACATTGTGAATGATTTTTTAGAGAAATTTTTTTATATGTGCTAGAGATCTAATACAAAAATGAGAGAAAACTGATGTTTGATTCGAGTCATTAGCAAACAATGTGATTCAAGCCAAGAGATGAAGTGATTTAAGTCAAGATCCAATAAGTAACAAAAATAATAACTTTGTGATTTAAGTCACACTTTTTGTGATTCGAGTCATGGAAATGTGTGATGATCAAATTGCACTTTCAGAATCTTAATTTTTACAAAAATGTAAAGTGTTTTTTTAGAATCTAACATTTTCACGACTTGAACCATTCTCAAAATTGATTCTTGATCCAAAATTTTAATAAATTGACTTAGAAGCATGTTAATTATACCATAATTAAATAGTTTGGTTTATATATTCGTAAAAATAGATTTAAAACTTAATCCCAAGGTATGCAATCATGAGAGGAGATAAACAATCAAAACATTAACTCGTTGAAAGCAGAGGTAATGTAACTTCATAAAAGATATAAATGGAATAGAAAGCTCTAAAAGTGCTAAAAAAACTACAAACGTGACTAATGTTCAGGCTGAAAATCAAACTGAAAAGCAAAAACAACTAAATTGCAGAAAAAGAAACACAAAATGACCATCTCTACAGATCAATCTATCACTACTACAGAAAACACATATCATAATGGTTGGTAATGGATATCATCATGCTCGTCCAACCATTGTGAGATAAGGTGTAATTGTATGTATGATGTTTTCCATCACGGTTGTGCGACCGTGATTGTATCTATGTAGCACACTACCTACCACAATGGTTACTTTAAACAACTATTGTGATATTCTTTAATGCATAATATTTAACAACACTTGTGCTAAACAACCGTTGTGATATATACACATGAGTTTATAATAAATTATGTGGAATTCTTATTTCTCGAATGCTCACTATACATATAACCTTTCAATATGAACTAGAACATTATAATATGACAAATTAACTTATATTAGAATAACAAGTTCACGTTCAATGCTTGAAAATAGTTATTCAACTCCTTATCTGCATTTTTCTCTTTAACAGTTAGAACTTTGTTTAATTATCTTAATTCTTCAACCACCACTTCCTTCACCTCTAGTTCATTTTGCAAAATACTATTTAATTTGCAAACAAAATTAGAGGTGGTTGAAGAACTAAAATCATTAAATAAAGTTCTAATGGTTAAAGAACAACATGCAGATAATGGATTGAATAATTCTTGTCAAGAATTTAACGTGTACTTGTTTTCTAATATAACTTTATCTATCATATTATAATTTTTTAATACAATTTAAAAAGTTATATATTCGATAAGGGATTGGAAAAACACTCAAAAACCACATAATATATAATAAACTCATCTTTCAAACAAACATTAACAACAACAACAACAACAACATTCATAAAAAACATTCATGAATAACAAACCATAAACAACTTACACGATACAACAATTATATTAAGTCATAGAATGTTTCAGAAACGTACCGTACATATAAAATAATGGTGTGTCCACAATGAAAGAAGGATGAAGCTGAAGTTAGAGCCGCAAACTTGTGTCTATTTTGAATGGATGTTGTTCTGCCCTGAGCCCCGACTTGACCGGGCAGGCCCAGCCCAATGATACTTAGTTAGGCCCAATCCGACATGGGCTACATTCGTCGAGCACATGGTTCCCGCCGGGCAAACAATGGCCCCTCCGCGGGCAGAACCTTCGCCCTTTTCGAGCAGAACAACATGTCCTTCACACGTTCTCCACGTGCTCCCCTCCGCGGGGACACGTCACCAACCAACTGCCCACCTCCGAAAGAGCAGGTCAAACCCACTTTCCGGAGATCACGGGACAGTTGAACTAGGGCGAAGACCACGTCCTGGTCTTCACTGTGCCACGTAAGCCCTAGCAGTCACTTGGGTTGGGCCTGGCCATCCAGCCCAATTCAAATGACCGGTGACCCTGCGCCGGGGTCTCTCTATAAATACCATCTTTCACTAGAGGGTCAGGTATTCTCTTCTTACCATTTTTTGTATTTGCTGCCACTCTGTCCAAACTCTTACTTTGGCATCGGAGTGCCTTGCAGGTACACCCCCCATCTCCTTCTCAACATCGGTGAATAGGCAGCAGATCAACGGCGTGTGGCAAGTCAAGGGTCCCCTTCTGATCAGGTCAGATCAGATGTCATTCTAGA